ATTTACAAATCCAATATTAGGCGAATGAAATATCCGATTTCTACCAAACTTTGTACAACATATTATCTTGCCCCAAGCCTAGATCATGTCTTAGGATGGGACCCAGTGGTCCACTCCGTCTGGTACCTCCCTCACAAGTCGAACTTTTTTACATAACTTTACCAAGCCCAGATTAAGGTTTAAGAGTACACCCCTTCTGGTACCTCCCCCTCAAATGCTTGAAATTTTCAATATTTGTAAATCCTATATCAGCGAACTGAATTTCCGATTTTAACCAAACTTTGCACAACGTAATAACTTTACCAAGCCCAGATCAAGATCCATGTTGGTATCCACAAAGGGTCAATATTTTATAAACGCGAATTTCAAGCGAATTGAATAACCGATTTGATCAAGTTTAAATTCGAAACCTCTTTGATAAAAACATATACCTTACATAAAGCGAATAATAAAACCTATGTGTAATTCCGCAGACCTCAGTATATGCTGAGGGTATATATCTGGCGGCAAACTTCGACTGACACTTTTTTACTCGTTTTGATAAATTTTAATTGGCCCATATATATTTTTATAATTTCAGATCAACCAGTAAATTTGATTGGTAAGCAGAATGCCGAATTATTATGCCTCTATTACACTACGATTTAGACACTACCAGAACATGGATTTTGAACTACATCTTCTGAATAGTCGCAACATGTTTCAGACGTGCAGATGGAAGTTTCGTCTTTAATAAAAATATATATAGATTTTTTCTAAGGCAATGATCGATGTGCAGGGCGTGATTAGTTTTCAAATCCAATTTTTGTTGGTCAATAAAGTGGTACTGCATTTAGAACACTTGAACATAAAAAAAATTGAAAACATGTCTGGAATCTTTAAAAATACAGAAAAAGGTGAGGGAACCCTTTTAAAGACGCTGTAGCAAAGCGTGGTCCACAATTTACTGTTTGAAGCTTTCCTGTCCAATGAGAAGCAAACCTAAAAAAGAAATCCCCAGTAATGGGGTATTGATATATAGGGGTACCTTGAAGCTTGGGATAATCTTGAGTATTCTGGGTAGTGTAATTCCGGGTCCAACCATATGATACCCTCCACAACTGTCACCTAACTATGATTTTGGGTAAATCTATATTCCGAGTCTGGGCCACATTTCGCGATATTTGCATCTTCTTACTCGTTTTGAGGTCAATAGCTCCTCTTTTTTACTCTGTCATATTTTCCAAATAATTTTTCCAGAGTAAAAATTTACGCCATACGATTTATTTTACACACAAAAGTCTTGGTTCAGTTGAGCCTCTAAATATTAACCCACCATATTTAGAACAGCCATTCTAAATAGTTAGCCAGATCACTTGTCCGTGTAAAATTTGTGATGTTCGGCTTACAATAGAGGTCTTTAGAGCGAATAGGAAACCATATAATAAGGTCCATTCTCTAAATAACATCTGATCATCACCGACATTTGTAGATTATCATAACGTGAACTAACTTTAAAATTTCAAAGCTATCGGCGCTACTTGTTATACCCTCCACCATAGTTTGGAGGGTATATTAATTTTGTCATTCCGTTTGTAACTCATCGAAATATTCATTTCCGACCCTATAAAGTATATATATTCTTGATCAGGGTAAAATTCTAAGACGATCTAGCCATGTCCGTCCGTCTGTCCGTCCGTCTGTTGTAATCACGCTATCTTCTGAAGGAATTGATATAGGGTGCTGAAATTTTGCATAGGGTTGTCTTTTGTCTGCAGGCAGGTCAAGTTCGAAGATGGGATATATCGGTCCACGTTTAGGCATAGCTCCCATATAAGTGTACCCCCCAATTTTCGGTATTTTGGGGTTCTTGGGCGCGTTTTTCAACCGAATACGCTGAAATTTGGTACATTGGTTTCTTATTGGGTACTAAATGTCCCCACAAAAAATTATAAATATAGGTCCACTTTTTCTGGTAGACCCCATATAACGGTACCTCCTAATTTACAGTAATTTACCAAATCTCTCCACATAAAATTATAAATATAGGTCAATTTTTTCGGATATCCCCCATATAAGGGTATTAATTTTCGGTATTTTGGGGTTCTTGAGCGCGTTTTTGAACCGAATACGCTGAAATTTGGTACATTGGGTTCTTAATAGGTTCCAAATCTCTCCACAAAAATTATGAATATAGGTCCATTTTTTTGGATAGCCCCCATATAAGGGTATCCCCAATTTTCGGTATTTTGGGGTTCTTGAGCGCGATTTTCAATCGAATTTGATGTAATTTGGTATTTAGTAGTCGTATATGGTAACAAACTTCCTTATTAAAAATTATTAATATTCGCCTCTTTTTTGGGGTAGTCCCCATATAACCCCCTTTTTTATAATAAAATAGTTATCTGATTTGTTCCGCGTTTTGAGTTTGGTTCTAAGACTCTTTTGTAATAATTTCACCTGCGGAGGATAAAGAGAATACACCCTCATTAGCCATAATGTTGAGGGTAAAAAAATTTCTTTAAAAATTTCTAAACTTTGTATTATGGTTTAAATAATCCATTTTTAGAAATGTCGATATAGGTCCACTTTTTGTTATGTTCCCTATATTTTCATTTCTAGTACCTGTCACTATATATATATAGTGGAAGGTATCCAAAGTTCGGCCCGGCCGAACGTACCACTTTTTCTCTTGTTAACTATTAATATTAATCATACCGAAATACAGGGACACCTGTGTTTATCTTAGTATATCTCCATCATCCGAGTAAATACAACAGTAGAACTGGTATCAATTTAAAGGTCAACCCCTCCTCTTGGATATACTATACTTTTCGGGTCTATGTCCTTAGGGAGTAAAAATATACCCCATAGAATGCAAATTTTGCCACTTTTCACACAAAAGTCAGGGTCCATTTGACCCGCCAAATATTTACCGATCTTTATCAAAACAGGAATTTGTATTTATTGGCCCGATCCCCTTCTCCACGATGTTCGGGACACAATTGCGGCTATTCCATTATCACCCCATTACTATAATGCTATAAATTATAAACTAATGACTCTGTAGCGCCATGAGTGTTACAGGCCGGAGGATTTTCAATTGACCACTTATGAATGAGTACCATCCTAATACAAGAAAAAATGTGAACATATAGGCAGCCGAAATTAAGAAAAAATATTTTTCTTTTTTAAAAATCTACCAATTCCCATTACATTCCATACCACATATCCTCCAGCATGTCCTGTTTTCCCAAAAAATATTTGGCCAATTTATGTTTCGATGTTTTTCCTTTTGTTAATATCACCATCATTAAATTAAAAGCCAGCACACGTATGAATGAGTCAAGTTTAAAAGTCTGCACCCTCAAACTTAACCATATATTATTTTGGTCAGGTCGTTCATCACACGCCAAAAGCAACAACAAACCATCCCAACCAAGAAACAAAAGAAAAAATCCCATGATAATTCCAGTGGGAGAAACCAAAATTCCAAAAGTAAAACCAAGTGGCCACTGTCTCCGTTTTTTCGTTTTGGTTTAATAACAAATAAAGATTTCAAAGTGGAAATGGAATTTTGCTGCACCACCCCTCCAACTAAGGGTCACCATCAAAAACTGGTGTTTACTTTCGAAATGGAATAAAGCTTTGTAAAGGAGGTTTGCTGGCTGCTATGCTAAAAAGCGAAATTTGCTAAAAGCCTAAGGTAAAGGCTATAACAATAACAGTAACAACAACAACAGCCATTATGACCCAATGGAAAAATTGACGACATAATCAAGTTAGTTGAACAGGAAAAATACATTTTCTTTTGTTAACAGCTGGTTGTGTTGGATTGCATGGCATTGTGGGTTGTTCGACTGTCGGTCTTACTAGTTGGTTGGTTGGTTCGCTGTTTGGTTTGCATTTCAAATACCTTTGGATTGAGGCATCATCCTCTCTACCAAAAGGCTGATTTTCAATTATAAGTAAAATAATGATTACGACGATGACGTTGTTGTTTTTTCCATTCTTCTTGTTTTTCAGAAAAACTTCGTCCCTGGGTAAACAACACTTTGTGCATTGCTGAATTAGAAATACGGAAAACCACAAATAATTCTCACGATCCATTCGTAGCCGCCACGATGCAAAGGGCGGTGTAGGAGTAAAAACACAGCCTTTTTCGAAATCAAGAAAAAAAACAACAACAAATTTAATACAAGTGAATCTGGGTTATTTGGGCGTAAGTGAAATTACAATTGAAAGCCGCAGCAGAGCCACATAAGAATAAGTGAAACTTTTGCTTTTTTTTCTTGATGCCTTGCTGGCTTACTGTGGCAGCTTAAAATCTATTCATCTCACCCTCAAAGCAAATCTCAGTAGAAGAAGAAATCACCTAAAGATGAAGAAGAAAATTATAGCCTATCATGAAAGATCATCACCACGAAGGGGGGGAGAAAAAACAGAGATAAATTTCCATAAAACGAAATGAAGATCAGTAACTACCACAGCCAACACCATGGTCACAGTCATGCTCATCATTATTGGAGTTTATGGTTTGGCTGGTTGGTTGGTTTGTTATCTTCATCATCAAACCATAGTGGCCAGCATAACACTATTATTATTTCAAATGTCAAGTGTTTGCTTTGATTTGATGGCCTAGGGAGTTGTAGGTGGTGGTGGTGGTGGTGTTGGGGGAGGTTTGAGAGAAATATTCTTGAATTATACAAAATTGTTTTAAATTACCGCATCAAAAGCAACGACGTTGTCTTTGACCGACATTTTTAGCCAAAACAAAAATTTCACTTATCCGCAATTCAAACGAACGAACCAACAACAACAATGTTGTTACTTGGCCAGTGGGTGTCATTAAACCAAATTCCCCCTCAATGAATATTTCTTTTGGAGAATTGTAACTGAATCCAAATTGCGTGACCGTAATTTTTTTCTTTACCATAATATTTGTCACGCAGATTTCTCATAGTTTTGGATTTTTTTCGTTGCGACGAGAAAAAAATCCGAAATTGGGTCAATATCATAAAATGTCGGTAACGACAACAACAACATCATTAAACTCACCCATGGCCGCCGGACAAACACTTGTCATCATTCTCAGTTTTGTGGTGCTAATTGAAATGATTCTCGGCGAGAATAAGATCATGGGTTTATTTTTATTTTTTTCGTGACGGCTGCACTTTCATGAAAGTTATTTCTTAATACCTCAGGCCTGCCATCCAGCCAGCACCTTGGTGGTGATTTGTGGCTGATGTGTGTAGGTCAGTAATGCGTGATAATTGTGACCACATTGCGGAAATGCTCAAATGAAAGTTACAGTGGACCGATCAGACATCATACACCCTGTAGACATGTTTATCAGCAAAGAACTTACCTGCAAAGAGACGGAAAAATGAAAACAAAAATAAAGATAATTAATTTTTTTTTTTTTTTTTGAAACTTGCATTCATCCTAAACAAGTGTGGATAACTTCAAATAATAATAACATATAAAAAACCCCAACAAAAAAGAAAAACTTTTTGAAATGAAATCCAGATAGTTCAGACAAGTTCGACAAGTCTTAATACTTTTTTACTTTTTTTTATTAATTAGTTGTAGATTAACATGGAAAGTTGTTGTCCAACACACATACACACAATTCATTTTCATTAATATAGCGCGTATTTAGCATAAAACGGATACGGATGGCTCCAAACACCTATCATTCAAAATATGTTGTATGTGCATGCAGAAAGTTCGTTTCTTAAGTCTTTCGTTTTATATGAATTATGATGCTTTTGGTATGGAGTGTGCGTGTTGGCATTCATGTAATTGACTTTGTACCGGAAAACCGGGCTATTTAGATGCTGATATTTTTTTAAATGGCTCCAGGCAAATTGAATTTCTTTTTGAAATCAATAACAAAAATTATTGGAATGGAAAGTTCAAAAACACCAATCATAAATACATTAATAAACTATTTAATGAACACGAAAGATTTTTAAAATATTAAAAATTATTAAATTAAACAAAAATATATTTATTTTAATGTTAGTCTCTTTAAAAAATATTTTTAAAAATCTACGCTTTGTATTGGTCTCTTAAAAAAATAAAATCCACGCCTTGTATTGACTCATTAATTTTTTTTTTTAAATCCATGTCATGGGAAAATTCGAACCACCTCGTATCCATTTTTATTCAAAGCCTTCCTGAAGGTCACCTCATTTTAAACACATGCTGTGGTCTTTATACCCCAATTTAATTTAAAAGTAGAATTCAATTTACTGAGAATAGAAAGTACTATTCACGGAAATTTGAATAATCTCCAAAACCACCAATTAATTTCTTCACACCGTTTATTTAAAAATATTTAACGAAATAATTGAATTTATATTCACTCTACATAGTTTATTTGACAATCTATTCTTACATAGTCTAATTCCAAAGCTATTGTGTCTATAGAAAAAAGTTTATAGTTTTTTTTTTCTTTTCTTTTGAATGTCTTTATGACACCCTAAACCTATACAGAATCTTAATTAAGCAGCAACCAACCTCCACAGTTCAAGACAATTAATTACTTTCTTTTTCAACTATTTTGCTCTATTTCTTTTGTTGTTGTTGTTCTTTCCCCATTCTCTATTGTCCCAACAATGTAGCTGTGAGGTGCCCAGCAGCAGTACCTCTACCGCCAACAGCTTTTAAAAGACCAACAGAAATTTATTTTACTGGTCACTAACATGCTCTGCTTGTAGGAGAAAAATATAGAATAAAATAAGAACCTCATCGACTTGGGTACTTATTATTAATTGCAAACTAGAATGGCAAAAAGTCATTACATGGCAGGCCCTAGACCGAACAAAACAACAGGAAGCCAGCCAAGCAATAGACGAGAAGAAGAAGCTGAAGTCTTTATTCATTCGACTGTGGTGTTGTGAAGAGTTAATTTGCAGTGCAGTGCTGTTTGTGTCTTAAGTCTTTTGATTTGATTTAAGTCCTATGGGCTATATGCCTACACCAACAATGGTGTGTGTGTGTGTGTTTTTTTTCTTGCTCTTTCTCCCTGGACATTGAATTTCTAATGTAATCACTTTTGGGCACGGCAATTACAGTTAGCCATCATTTCGGAACGGTTATTTAAGTTGGTGGAGTTTTTCTATTCTATTTAGTTATGTTTTTTTCTATTTATCATTTATTGTAGAACCTTCTTCTTGTCCACCATTCGCCACTGAGTAATGATAGAAAGCACACTCTAATTGCCATAAATTATTTGATTTGATTTATTTGTGTGGCGTCGCTATAGGAAAGTGTTCTAACTTGAGAGTACAGCTTTTTATTAGCATCGCATGAATTAATATGACAAAGGAAAGGTGTGAAATAATTGGTCAATGAACTCGAAAATGTTTAAAATTTATCGGTATATGAAATTCTTATAAAAATAATTCATTTGTGAAATTTATATCAGCTGTATGCGGGCTATATCATGGTAAACGACATTGTTTGCATAAATTGTTAATATGTTATATTTTTATTTGTATATATATATATTTTTTTGTTCTGGATGACGTAAATCGTCAGTGGTATTTAATTGCGGAAGCAGGCTAAAACTAATGTATTTATGTAATTCTTAAATAATTTTGTCGGTTATTAATATGGATGTTACAAAAAATATTTTTCATAGTCTATAGAATTTTCAAAATATTTATATCCTACACAACTATGTTGTCAGGGTATTATAGCTTTGTGTAGCCCCAAGAGTTTGTAACGCCGCGAAATCAATCAATCAATCTCGAGTCGATCTAGACATGTGTGTCCGTCCGTCTGTCCATTACATTTTGTAAACACGATACAGGCCACAGTTATGAACCAATATTCACAACATTTTGCATGTAGAATGGGTTCTGGCCAATTACGACCCCTATTGTTTTGGGTAAAGATCAGTTAATATTTAGGAGATGAAATGGATCAAATACGAAATTTTTGTCTAATTTTCTGGTCGCCTTAGATGCCACAATTATTGCCCGAATATCGTGAATTATTTACATGGAGAAGGAAATCGGGACAAAGAATAAGAATGCCTGTTTTGATAAAGATCGGTCAATATTTAACGGGTCAAATGGACCCTGACTTTTCTGTGAAAAATGACAAAATTTTTATTCTATAGCGTATAGAATTACCCCTGAAGAACATAGACACGAGAAGTTGATAATATATCCGAGAGGAGTGTTTGACCTTTAAATTGATACCAATTATATTGTCGTATGTATACGAATGTGGGAGATACACTTAAATTTTTACGGTTGCTTACGGAATGAGATATTACTTAGTAATCCATTACCACACTAGAGGGCGGAAATATAGCGCTGATAGCTTTCAATTTTTCCATGAGGTTCCAGTTATGGTCAAGGACAACACCTATAATTTTCGGTGATGTTCAGATAATAATATTGGGATGGACCGAAAACTAATTTTTTTTGTGTTTTTCTTTTTTTGAGTCGATCTGGAGGCCACAATTTAAATCCGAACATCACAACACAACCCACGGTGATTGGAATAGGAACAAGTAATTAGAAGAACTGTACTGAACATTATTAATATTCGGAATATATGTCAATGTATGGAAGTGGCGCTGTTGACCTCTAATCGGACCAGAGGGTGCAACTATCACGCAGAAAGTTAGAGTTTTGTGGTAATTGTGTAGGGTATCGTATGGTCGACCCCGTCCGACAATATTGCTCCACTCACTGGTTTAAAAATATTTTTAGTGGCCCAATACAAGGAACTAATACATGACGTGAATTTTTTAAAATAGTTTTAATCGAACTAATACTAGGCGTAGATTTTTGAAAAATATCTTTAAGGGACAAATCCAAAGCGTAGATTTTTTAAATCCTATTTTTTCGTGGATTTTTTATTTTGTAATGGTCTAGAACAAGGCGTGGATGTCATTTTACCTGAAAATTCTACCCTGTCCGAAATATATCTCCTGTTTCGTAGCGGAAATTATGTAGCATTGTTCTTGTTTTTTTCACTTATTTAACAACTACAACATCTCGGAACCCTTTGATGTTTTTCATAGACCACTTACAATTTCAAAGATCATAAAAAACAATCTTGCACTTAACCACAAAATAGTTCCAAAGAAGCTTCTAACTCCTTAAATGCATTGCTCTAATTTTCTTTTTCTATCTACTTTGGGATACAACTTCTCTCTGTGTGTGGCCTACCACTTCCCACAATTCATCATAATTTTTTTTTATTACGTATTTTTTATATTTTTTCCTTTAAAATTGTTACCTTGAAAAAATACGTCAAGAAAAAACAAAGCGCCTTTTATTGACATGATATCCTCCTAACCGGAAGAATAATTAAATTACGATAACAATCTCAAAAGAACACCTTTTTGGTTTTCTTGTCGATGTTGTTGTTGTTGGTTTTATTTATGGCAAACCATCCATAAAATATAGAAAGAAATTAAAATTACATTTATACGCCTGTCAAAGATTATCTTTCACAGCCTACAAATAAAAAGAAGTGCTGGCGAAAAGTGTTTATTTGAACACATCTGATGGTTTTGTGTACACACTCTGTAGAAAAAACACACACACACCATCTACAGGTGTGTGTGTTTGATGGCATTGCCATAAAAAATGCATGTTTATATTAACAACAACATCATCATCCATATTGCATTCGCATAGCTACGTGATAATTAATATACCATACCATGTAAAGCATTATCAACATGGAAAAATCTACACCTACAAATGAACGAAGGAACGAACAGCCGAGGAGGGAGGATACCGTCGAACATGCCATGAGGAAAATGAGGCATACTCATACCGTACAATGTTTGTCATACATACCGCCAGTTGTTGTTGCAGCAATGTGGAAAATCCCAAAAACAAGTCAGAATGGAAATGGACGAATGAATGAATTTGATTTCCCAGTACTTTGCGGTAGTCACCACTCTGTTAACCACACACACACTGTCCGTCCCTCTTTCTATCTCTCTCCTAGCCCATAGTCTATTGTCATATATTAGTTAATTATAAAAACATAATGATATTTCATAGAAGACCATAATGTTGTCGTCCGTCTCCATGATATTTAGTTAGATAAAGTGACGAATGAATGAATAGATGGCTGACGGACTGACTGCCACAATGACT